CTCTTTAAGTAAGGTAGTTCACAGGCAGAATGGGAGAAATGGCCTAGATTAGCATTGGGAAGAAAGTTTTTGTTAATTGTGCTGCTTCTGTTCTTACATGAAATAGTGAATAAATGTTTTTGTTGGCAGATTGAAGGACTATCCCCAGTATTGTCAGCACTTGGCTTCTATCAGTCACTTTATGCAATTTCCACATCATTTACAGGAGGTAAGCATCTTCCATACCTGAAACCTTTCTAGTAGTTGGAGGGTTTGCATATTTTAGTTTGATTTTGGATGTTGGAACTGGCATTAAGATTTCTTAAGGAGTTGCATACTATAGGTATACATATTATTTGTTGCTTATTTTGCAGCTTAATAGATTGTGAAAAAATTGCATTTTTAATCTTTTCTAAGCAGTGGTTTCGCTTGATTTAATAAAAGGCTTTTACCAGTCTGTTAGCCTGATAATTCTATTGAAGAATAGACAACTTTTACTATATTTTTCCCCCCAATATATTTTATTGTTTTTTTACAGAGAGGAAGGGAGAGAGATAGAGAGCCAGAAACATCGATCAGCTGCCTCCTGCACACCTCCCACTGGGGATGTGCCTGCAACCCAGGCACATGCCCTTGACCGGAATCGAACCTGGGACCCTTCAGGCTGACGCTCTATCCACTGAGCCAAACCGGTTTTGGCTACTATATTACTAAGAGAAACTTTGTTGGGTTTTAAAAAGGATTTGGAATTGTAATCTTGGATAAAAATATGAAAAGTTGTTTATCTGATTTAAGTATGATTCAAAGCTGTTTCATATAGGACTTAAACCAGTGTTTCTTCAAAATACAGCCTTCTTACCACCTGCTTTGATTCCTTTGAGGTACTTAAAAAGGGAGGCAGTCCCTGAGGAAAAGGACCTAGCAGCGGTTCTCAACCTGTGGGTCGCGACCACCAGAAAACACATATAGCACATCAGATATTTACATTACGATTCATAACAGCAAAATTACAGTTATGAAGTAGCAACGAAAATAATTTTATGGTTGGGGGTCACCACAACATGAGGAACTGTGTGAAAGGGTCGCAGCATTAGGAAGGTTGAGTACCACTGATAGAGAATATACATTTTAAGCCATCTTATGTGACTCTTGAAATTTCTAAACCACTGTTTTAGTGATTGATTTTTAGTTGTCTTGCCTTTCGTCAAATTCAACTTATAGAGCACAAGAAAGTTGATTAATGTTATTTTACACAAAGCAGGTAAATGGCTTTATAAGATTATATTTTAAGGGATTGGGTCAGAATTTGAACCTACTATTATTTCTATACTAGGGGCCCAATGCACGAAATTCGTGCATGGGTAGGGTCCCTAAGTCTGGCCGGCGATCAGGACCGATCTGTGGGGCGACCAGCGGGGCGATTGGGAGGCCCCCGCTGGCACCCACCTTGGCTGGTCTGGGGCCTGCGGGCAGCTCCTGTGTTGAGCGTCTGCCCCTTAGTGGTTAGTGTGCGTCATAGCAATTGGTTGTTCTGCGGTTCAGTTGATTTGCATATTAGGCTTTTATTATATAGGATTATAATTTAATCTAGTAGTCTAGTCCCATCTGCCAAACTCATCCCAATGGGTTTGTTTGTAGGCGGGCAGGATTATTGTGATGGCTTAACCTAGGAGATCCATGGAGAGAGGGAGGCAGGAGTGTATTCATTCACAGGAGATTGGGGTGAATGCCAAAATTGTAGTACTGAAAAATGTAGAGGACAGCAGAGTTTTGAAAAGCAAGGATGTGAGGTCAGAGGATTACCACAATCAAATGTGTTTGGAATTAAGAGGCAGGAATATGGATCTTGGAAGACTGGCGCTCAAGAGAGGTGGCATGTAAGTGATCACACAGAACAGTGGTTTCTGGTACCCACCATAGCAAGAGAGCCAGAGGAGGGGGAGAGGTCATTGTTTGTATTTCTGTACTTTTCAAATATGTAGGTAGTAGTTTTTGTTTTGTCAGAAATAGACTGTTGGAAATAGTATCAAGAACCCTATGTCAGTCCTCCCTATGTCAGTCCTCTAAATGAAGGGGAGCAGGGAACCACCAAACCAGTCCTGGGACATCCATCCAGTATCATTGCTTACTCTCTAGTCGGCTTGGCATTATGTAGTGTGTTTTTGTTTTGTAGTTATAGCTTACAGAATGGTAACTCACATTGCAGTGTGTATTTTAGGCCTTAGGTTTCTCACCAGCATCCAATAAAAAGATCAGTCTGTTATATAAATATAAGTAAATGTGAAAGGGATTTAAAGAAATTCATATGCAGGTGCTGTTGCTGCCTTCTTTATTTTGCTGGGCTAATTATTTTATAAATATTAATATTTTACCCACAGAGTCTGGTATATACACATAAGTATTATATATTTGGGACTATGGTTCAAGGAGTAAGGGGGATAGATGGACCAGAAGAGTACTCTAATGACTTCTAGTCTCTTAGAAATAAGGGGAGTGTAATTTAAAAAAATTTTTTTTTTTTGAGAACTCTTTTCATGTGTTTTCCTCTCTCTACCCCTATAGTATATCGAGTATGGACAGCAATCGAGAGATCCTCCTGTGAAAATGCAGGGCTCTATCACCACCCCTGGAAGTATTGCACTGGCTCAGGCCCAGGCTCAGGCCCAGGTTCCCACAAAAGCACCTCTTGCTGGGCAGGTTAGCACTATGGTAACCACCTCAACAACCACTACTGTTGCAAAAACGGTTACAGTCACCAGGCCTACTGGAGTCAGCTTTAAGAAAGATGTGCCAGTAAGTAGGTCTATCTTTTTTCTCTTCCAAGATTTATGTTGTAATATATGCATTAGTGAGCATGTATTTTAATATTATAAACACATGCCTACTAAAAAAGGTGAAGACCAGCAGTTCTCCCTTTGTATCTCCCCCAGATTTCCCAGAGGCAGCCACTATCAATAATTTAATATATATTCTTGCCAACTTCAGTGCACAATCATACACCATGTGTACTTTTTATACTAAAGGAATTTGCGTACATTTTTTTCCTGGTATTTGTCAACTAAGCATTTTAATCTGTTTATGTACTTTATTTCTTTAGCCTTCTATTAATACTACAAATATAGATACCTTGCTTGTGGCCACAGATCAAACTGAAAGAATTGTAGAGCCCCCTGAAAATGTCCAAGAGAAAATTGCTTTTATCTTCAACAATCTCTCACAGTCGAATATGACACAAAAGGTGAGCATGATGTAATAGTTTACATGTCACTGCAGATGCTCTCTATTGGTATCCCTAATGGGTTAGCGATTTATATGTCACACTCTGCATCCTTTTTTTAAATATTCACTTAACTTTAAAGGTAGAGGTAATAGAATCAAAACAAAGGGAAGGTGGGTACATAACTAGTGTTTGTGGTTTTGTAGACGTTAAATAGAACTAGTTTTAAATGTATCTTTTTGCAGTGAGTTACAGGCATTTAAAAATAAACTTCATGATCTCATGATGGTGGAAGGTTTTTTTGTACTTCTAGTCACAACTCATGTCCCTCCCAGAGACCATTCAGAGCATTTATTAGGAGTCTAATAACAGGTAGCCCTTGTGAAAAGCATAAGGAATGATGCTTCCCTTATAAGATTATATGCTAAGACAATACTTAGAAATGCCTCTTAGCCAGTAGGATTAGACTAAAGTGGGTTTGCGATATATGCAAGTACTATCTTTTAAAATCCCACCATAATTGGTTGGGGGGGAGGGGCAGGAACTAAAGTTTTTACTATCCTTTTTGGAAAAGAAGTATCAAATTTCACAGATGATACCTGGAGATGGAAATATAGGAAAACATAGTTCTGGTGTTAGGTCTTTTAATGGCAGGTTGTAGATTAGTAATTTATCCTCTTTTGGTCAAATGGAGAATTGGGTAAGATGTGAATGAGGGACTACATGTTTTATAATTTGAAGTTGAAAGCTACCATAGATGTTTGTCCTAATCACCCACAGTTTATGGAATTGAACACACTGTACATCATAGCGTCTATCTGATGTGGGGGAGAGATGTAGCATAGTGATTTGATTTAGCACATAATTTTGCAAGGAGCCATATGCTATAGTACTATTCTCAGAAACAAAACACATAACCGTATTTTATCATCTTTTAATTATATATTTTCTGTGTCATTGGTTGGCTAGGTTGAAGAACTAAAGGAAACAGTGAAGGAAGAATTCATGCCTTGGGTTTCACAATACCTGGTTATGAAGAGAGTCAGTATTGAGCCAAACTTTCACAGCCTGTATTCAAACTTCCTTGACACACTGAAGAATCCTGAATTTAATAAGATGGTTCTAACTGAGACCTACAGAAACATCAAAGTAAGTTAGTTCTTGTACTTCTTTTCTGTTCTTTTTCTGTTTTGATTTTGGAAATAATTGATTGTACAGGCAGAATTTGGGGGGGGGTGTTGCTGTTTTTGTACATGTCTATGAAATTTGCTCTAGCATTTGCTTCAAATATAGAACTAAATATCATGAAGAATTTAGTGTTACAGACACACTGTGTGTACTTTGGAAGTAACTACTATTCTGAGTTTGTTTTCGTTATTCATGTTTTTCTTTATCCTCTGAATGTTTTTAACTTGTTCCCCCAAACCCCCATATTTGCAATATGCTCTTAGCTGTAGTCCCTTTGTTTTGTTTTTTAATAGTCTTAATAGAAATTAATTGTATGGGTATATGGTTATTTAGGTTGTTAACTTTCACTATCACAGAAACAGTGTTGCAGTGAATGTTTCTCTTTATGTCTTAAGTGCCAGATATCTCTCAACTGTACACCTGTTTGTGTACTATCTGCTATTTATGATTCTCAGCAGTTTATTTTAAGGTCAAGCTCTTCTGAAGTGAATGCTTGTTCCATAAAATTCAAGTATTTTATTTCTTAGGGGGAATAACTTTTCGAATACACAGCATGAACCAGCATACATCTATGATCATTCTTTGTTGAATAACTTGGGACATTAGCTGAGGAGCCGGCACTATATTTAAACCTGTGTATGGGAATTCTCCCCATTCTAGGTTACGCTGTAGTGCAAAAGAATTCCTGGCTCTTTTCTGTTGCACAGCTGACATTATGCCATTCTGCTGTTGCTGGGTGGAGCTAAGGAACATAACTGTATTTAGCCTTTATTACCTGATAGTAAGAATGGTTGGGATATATGAAAACTTCCACACGCTTGAAAGCAAAGTCTCAGGATACTTTCAAACGGAATTTTAAATTACAAATTTTAATTTATGTGATGGTTCTGTCCCCCTTATGAGAGAAAGCTAGAAAATCAATAGAATGGATTTGAGTTTTCTAGAAATTTTCCAAGAAGTGTATATGCCATATTATACTGTATTTTAGAAAGTTATCTTGTTTCCAGAGATGTACAGCAATCTGGAAAATGCTACAATTTGCAATAGAGATTGTGATCTTGGTTACATTTCTCCATCTGTCTGTCATCTTGAAGGACTTGAAAGCATGGACTGTCGTCTTTTTTTTTTTTTTTTTTTTTTTTGAGTGTTCATTTGAATTGCAGTTGGATCTCTGCTTCAGGCTACCTAACATTTTCAGAGTTTTAAAATACTTTTCTGTGGGAGCATACATCAATCACACTTTTAGTCTTGTGTATACTTGTATTTTGTGTGATACAGTTTTATTACCTATTAAAAATAAAATGTAAAGAAAGGCATGAAAAGGTAAAAAGGACACTGAACACAACAAAATAGTGCTATGATAGTATGAAGTAGATCTACTTTGGGGGCATGGTCTCATAATTGATGACTTGGGGTTTTCTTATTATTTTTTCCCCATCACCATTTATCTCCTCTATGCCCTCTTCAACCCCCACCACCACCACCGCCATACTGTTGTCCATGTCCATGATTGATGGCTTGTTTTTAACATAGAATAATGGAATTCTCAAACATTTATTTGAGGGTTTTTTTCCCCATAAGCCCATTTTCATATCTTAATTCTGCCTCTTTTTTCCCCCCAGGTGCTCTTGACCTCTGATAAAGCTGCAGCCAATTTTTCAGATCGTTCTTTGCTGAAGAACTTGGGACACTGGCTAGGAATGATCACACTAGCTAAAAATAAACCCATCTTACATACTGTGAGTTCCAGCTAAAAGTTCATGTAAAATTTGAGAATGTTCATATAGCTATTATGTCTAAAAGTTTTTATTTGGGGCTATTTTAATGAATGGGTACTTGTAAGAGTTTGGTCCATGTTTTGAATCCCTAATTGCATGCTCATGGCCCCACATCATTTATCAGGATGCACAGAAGCCAGTAAGTTATGATTGTCACTCCTTTCTTTTTTTTGTAAGGCAAAAGTCAAATATTACTTTGATTTCTCTTTTGAGGATAAGTTTGGCACAGTGTTTTTGTGAAGAGTTTTGAAGTATATTCTTAGCTTTTAAAAAATACTATTTCTCCCCCCCTAGGACTTGGATGTCAAGTCTTTGCTGCTAGAGGCTTATGTTAAAGGACAGCAAGAATTGCTCTATGTGGTGCCCTTCGTTGCCAAAGTTTTAGAGTCTAGCATTCGTAGCGTGGTGAGTAGATTTTAATATTTTATTAATGGCTAAATTCTAAGAGTTAATTTCAGCACAAGGTCAAGAAATTGTGTCCTTAGTTCTTATGAATAGCACTAGTTCAATCAGTATTCCTCAGATAAAGTTGTATTTCTAATGAGAGAGGCTAAGTAAATTAAAGGACTGATATCTAATAGGTGGCTTTGAGTTTTGGTGTTTTTCTGAAATTTTATGTACGAGGCTAGGGGTTTTGCGGGAGCACTTATACTTACAGCCACATAAGTATACATGCTTAACTATTTTAAAAATACAAATTGAAGTGATGTGGGGTCCAGTTTAACATAATAGATTTTCTTTAGGTTTTTAGGCCACCCAACCCCTGGACAATGGCAATTATGAATGTATTAGCTGAGCTACATCAGGAACACGACTTAAAGGTAAATTTGTTGCTTCATTATCCTTTGGAACATTCTCTGTTTTTACGTTATTAAAATTTATAGGAGAGGTAGAGTATTGGGGGGAAGGCATTGTAACAATCCGGTAAATCATTTATGTTATGAATAAAGCTAAAATGTTATTTTTAAAATTCTAATCGATTATTGGAATTATGCAGTTAAACTTGAAGTTTGAGATTGAGGTCCTCTGCAAGAACCTTGCATTAGACATCAACGAGCTAAAACCTGGAAACCTCCTAAAGGATAAAGATCGCCTAAAGAACTTAGATGAGCAGCTCTCTGCTCCAAAGAAAGATGTCAAGCAGCCAGAAGAACTTCCTCCCATCACAACCACAAGTAAGTATAATGGTTAGCTGCCCTTTACTTGCCAGAATGTTCTCTTAAATGGTACATTTGCATGCATATAGCAAGTTATAATTGTTCAACATTATGTGTTGCTGGAACTTTTGTGTACCCTTTGGTGTGCATTCTAATTATTAAGGAAATGTTAGCAATGTTTAGACATTGCCGTACCATATTAGAGTGTATCTGAGTAATTCATGTGGTGGTATTAATTAAACCGGTTATTTATATTGTGTGAGGTCTCAGAAAGAAGTCTGTGGCATGACAGCCTGTGTTATTCCTCAGATCTGGGGATGACCAGACCAGGTAGACCTTCTAGGGGATTGGATTATTTTATGAAGGTCAAGGTGATTATAAGTGCTGGGGCAATAAAGATGATTGGGAGGTATGGTTAGAATAAACCAGCTTTTCTTTCTCTCTCAGCCCTCAGTAGCTAAAAATTCCCAGGTGAAACCAGGGAACAGCCTAGATTGAAAATAGACATCTATAATAAGGAATAATCCAAGGTTTAGGCCTGCTAATGCTGCATAACCTCTTAATTGCTTTCTGTGCTATGGGTACTGCCACACATAGTTTTACATACTTTGTTCAAATCTCTGTTAAAATTACAAAATTTTTCTTATGGTAATTCAGGGTGGGGAAGATGCGGCCTTTGTCATTCCCCTATACCACCATCCTCTAATCCAATTAGTTTAATGAAATAAAAGCTGCTTGATGCCCTGCTAATTTTATAGTAAAGTCAAGAAACATGCTTTTTTTATTAGCTCTTATTTTGTCTCTTTACTTTTAGCAACTTCTACAACACCAGCTACTAGTACCACCTGCACAGCCACTGTTCCACCACAGCCACAGTACAGCTATCATGACATCAATGTCTATTCCCTTGCGGGCCTGGCACCACATATTACTCTAAACCCAACAGTAAGTAAACACCATCCCATCCCCAAACTTCTACTTTGTGTCACTGGTTACCTTCCCCTTTCCCTTCCTGGATTCCTAGGTTGTAGATTTTTGTGCAGAGAGCAGAGATTGGGCACTGCTGTGTAGTACAGCTGGGATGTTTTCTACTCTAAAAATAGTCATTGGGATTAGGTATCGTTTAAATTGGTTCAGCATATCCAGATCCATGATTAAAATCAATACAGCTGGCTCCCTATACAAACCAGAGAGGCACCCCCTGCCCTATTAGGATGGTAAAAATTTGTAGCCATCCATGACCCTCAACCCAATATATGAGTTTTTATTTTGACAAAGAGACTGATGGAAAAGTGAGTACTAATGAAGATCTGGCCTTTGGTATTTTTTTTCCACTTAACATCTAGTCTGTCTCAAATGGGAGGAAGTTGTGAATGTTTGCAGTGACTACATCTTGTTTGCTAAGTACCTATGAAATTAAATGCGCTTAGATACTATTAAAACAAAACAAAAACGCAAGACAGCTGTGCCCGGCTGGTGTTGCTCAGTGGTTGAGCGTCAGCATGTGAACTAGGAGGTCACAGTTCAATTCTCGTTAGGACACATGCCTGAGTTTCGGACTTGATCCCTGGTAGCAGGTGTGCAGGAGGCAGCCGATCAATGATTCTCTCTCATCATTGATGTCTCCCTTCCTCTCTGAAATCAATAAAAATATGTTAAAAAAAAAAAAAAAAGCTGGCAATACAGGGTGGGGCAAAAATAGGTTTCTAGTTGTGAGTACACAAAACAACTATTAATTATTGTATTTTTCCATATAAACGTATTTTTGCCCCACCCTGTATAATCACTATCTGTACAAGTTCCTTGGCTCAGGTCAGAAGAGTCTCAGTGTATACTATAGCTTTTTGCTCTCTATTTTCATTAGCATATCACCTTACCCTTGCATTAAGCCATTTTTAGTCAGGAGCTGAAACTGAGCTGATTCATTTGTGTGTACAAATCTCTAGGTTAAAGCCCAGAAGTAACTTCATTCTTTTTTCTGTGCCCTGGTTCTGGAAGGCAGTCTGTACTAACTTTATAAATAACTTCCCATCGGTCCTTTATTTAAAGGTTGCATTTTACTGTCTATATTCAGAGTGATAATTATCTTCTGCTTTTCATTATGCTTAACATTTGTTTAGTTTAAAATCAGGTACTTGGAGGTTTTATGGTCTTTGCTTTTTAGAAAATATTCGCAAATACAGGAGTAACATTATTAATCCATTGACCATTTGGATTTAAAGGACTTGGAAACATTTTAAAGAGACCATTTTAACCTGGTATTTCTTATTTTGTATGGATGTGCACTTAGTTTTTGAAAGAAAAATCTAGATCTAGAAATTGTGATTCCTCTTTGTATTACTCCCAGTAATCCGAATACTTTTGTGTTCATGAATATTTTTTAAGATTTCTTAAAAAAGAAAGAGACCAAGTGAGTATTAGGGCATAGTTTCTAGCAGAGAAAAGATTGGAAAATCTTGCCGAAACCGGTTTGGCTCAGTGGATAGAGCATCGGCCTGCGGACTGAAAGGTCCCAGGTTCGATTCCGGTCAAGGGCATGTACCTGGGTTGCGGGCACATCCCCAGTAGGAGATGTGCAGGAGGCAGCTGATCGATGTTTCTCTCTCATCGATGTTTCTAACTCTCTATCCCTCTCCCTTCATCTCTGTAAGAAATCAATAAAATATATTTAAAAAAAAAAAAAAAAGATTGGAAAATCTTTTAAGCAGAGGCTTCAGTGTATGATAATGCAAAATTTCTTGCTCTTCTGAGGAATTATTTGTAGCAATAAAAAATTTTGTAGAAAGCATTTTCTCTGTAAACTGGATTCTTTTTCCATTT